GATATAACCAGAAAATTAGTTGTTTTTGGTTGAATACAAAATAGTAGTTTACCAAACATGTGCCGAAAGTGACACTTTTCCGCACGTGTTAGGTACACTTTTTTTCCTACTAGCATGCGGAGAAAATCCATGAACATTAAAACATTATAGGAATTTACTTTCGTGCGCTACAATAGATTGAAAAAATATATAATTAATAATATTATTATCATCAAATTTACTCTTCTGCACTAAAATGAGTGCGGAAGTTTTTTACGCACTGAAATAAGTGCGAAATTTTTTTTCCGAAAAGTGACTCTTTCAATGCTAAAATGAGTGCGAAGAGTGGGTTTTCCACAGGCTAGTAGAAAAATATCTCTTTGAATAAGAATTTTATATGAGATTCTATTAAAGAGTTGAAAATGCTACACTAATTACTATATCCATAGTATTTATCTCCTCACCTTATTATTATTGGGAAACCAAGGTGAGATACTCATCAATTTGACTCACAGTAGAGTAGAAAGCGAATGCTAGGAATGCTAGGAATCAAAGTTTGAGCATGTTCCAAGGCATGTTCACTTTTCTAGGTATTTTGTCTTTGATGGGTACAGGGGAAAAGGGATGAATGTCCAAAAACATGAAAAAGAGGTTGAGGCGCGGAACTGTGTCTCAAATATCGTGAAATGTAATACATTGAATTGAAATTTTGCAGTACAGGGAAAAGAGGTGAATGTCCATTTCTCCATCACTGGCTCTTCTTTTAGTTTGTTCTATTTCTAGAACATTAGTTGTTTTACGACTATACCTACCATTGCTATGATCTATAGGAGAATTCTGAACACAAAAAATCGATTTGCTCAAAAACTCTATTTTGTGACCTTCATATTTTTTCTTCTGTACAGTGCATCCCATTTTGGGTGAGACACCCAGGTATCTCGATTGTTGTTGAAGGTAGAACCTTGCGGTTTTCGCGATCCTGTGCCACTTTTTAGTGAAACTCAGGATGGCCTAATCAGACTTTGCATAACTCTTTCCATCTATGAGATACAGGGCGATTTTGTACCCCCTCTATATCTACGAAGTATCTAAGCGAAAATGTCGAATCAAAATCTTATCCCAAAGAGAATTTTACGCAGAATCCAGTGGCGCACTCAGTTCTTTTTTTCGGGCTATGATTTTGGAGATACGACTCGAACTTATGATTTTTTATATGGAACACCCTGTATTTTATTAGCTAATTGAATTCCTTATTCTTGTTCCTTCAAAATGATAAATAATACATAAATATAAAATTTTCTCTGTGCCTTCATTTCATTCATTATGGTTGATCATGGAAATACAATAGTGTTCATGGAATATAATTTTTGTCAAAATATTTTCAACTGGTATTATTTTATCAATATCACTCAACTCTCCAACTTTTGCACATAGAAAAAATAATGACTTGCAGGGAAAGTTAAAATAACTTTCAATTACTTTATAGAATAGAATAGAATAGAACTTTATTTACGGTTATCCATTGCATACATTATAATCACAAATATTATTACAAGATGGGAAAAAATATATACCTATGTAAATATTTAACAAATACAAATAAACATAAATAACAAGAGAATATCCTAATCAGTATGAATCTATCACAGTTATCACTCACTGTTGCTATATATCCTAGATCATTATGAATCTATATCACAGTAATCAAACACAGCTGCTTATAAAGGGGTACTATTAATGGTAATCAATGACTTCTCGAATAACTGAAACGAATTACTGAAAATGTCCAAATGTATACAATTATTATTGTATTCCCTTGGTATCCTTGAGAGAGGGCTATGCATGCCATAATTTGTGGAATGATGGTTAATGTAAAATAGTGCTTTGCTTCTAGTCCTACTGTTTGTACCTAGCTGAATTTCGGATACAAGTTCGGGACAGTCAATGATACCATTCAACAATTTATATAAAAAGAGCAAGTCTGTGTTGAACCTACGTTTTTCTAAAGTTTCCAAACCTGTGCTATTTTGAATGTTGTCATAATCATGATTCCAATTCATTCCCAGTCTGAATGCATAATGCCTGAGGAATTTTCTCTGTATTCCTTCAATTGTCCCGATATCAACACTGTAGTTAGGACACCATATCACAGAAGCATATTCTAAGCCTGACCTAACAAGTGCACAGTATAATAATTTTAAACTATTAACTGACATATCCTTTGTGTTTCTCATAACAAATCCAAGATTTCTATAGCCAATAGTAGCTACTTTCAAAATATGTTGTTTAAAGGTCATTTTATTATCAATCAAAATGCCTAAGTCTTTGATTTCAGCGACGCGAAGCAACGATTCATCTTTTATTTTATAATCAAATGTAAGTGGAGAGTTGGATCTAGAGAATGTTATGCAGAAACACTTGTTGACGTTCAGACACAGTGCATTAAGATCAGCCCAATTACAAAAATTTTCAATGTCATTCTGAAGCTCATTGCAATGATTGATATTTGATATTGTTTTGTAGATTTTTACATCGTCAGCAAACACCAAATATTTTGAATTTTGTAACACTTCATTCAAATCATTGACAAACAGGCTGAACAGAATTGGACCACAATGGGAACCTTGAGGGACACCAGAAGAAACCTCAATAGCATTTGAAATGAAGTTATTAATTCTAACACATTGAACTCTTTCAATCAGAAAGCTATTTATCCATGTTAGGGCTTGACTGCCAATTCCAAGTGCTTTCAACTTAGCAATTAATAATGTGTGTTCAACTCTATCAAAAGCTTTTGTGAAATCAGTGTATACACTATCAACCTGAACACGATTTTCAAATGCATTTAAAATATTAGATTGATATATCATCAAATTTGTAACTGTCGATCTTCCCGAGTGGAAGCCATGCTGTTCTGGAATAATGATATGTCTAGAGGACCACTTTAGCTGTACGGAAATGAGTTTATCAAACAATTTGGGTATCTCAGATTGGATTGCAACACCCCGATAATTTGAAATATTTTCTTTATCTCCAGTTTTGTATATTGGTGTTATGAAAGTATTTTTCCAATACTGGGGAAAAACGGCAGTATTTAAAGATAGGCTGAACAGTATAAAAATAGGTCTGGTTGAAGTGTATACACATTTTTACAAAATTATACCTGGTATACCATCAGGACCATGAGATAACTTGGGTTTCAGCTGACCTATTGCATTGAAGATATCTAAAATTGATATCGTGAATTTATGAAGTTCCATGGTTCTAGTAAAATTGTAATTTGGTATTTCAGTTTGGGTATCAGAATATACTGATGAGAAGAACTTGGCAAATAACTTAGCAGTATTATTACCATCATTACTAAATTCATTGTTATAATAAGTGTGCATAGGATTTTCATTGTTCTTTCTCATATCCTTGATATGTTTCCAAAAATATGAGGGATTTGAGGTTAGGTTGAATTCCAGTCTGTTGATATAATTGCTGTAGCATCCATTGCTAATTAATTTGCATTGATTTCGTAGAGAGGAAAACCTCAAGTAATCACAATGTAAACGAGTCTGTTTATATCTTTTATGAGCAATTTTCTTCTCAATGGTGAGTTTTCTTAGGTCGGCTGAAAACCAACTTGGAAAATTACTAGATCTAAACTTCTTTACAGGAACAAATATGTTGATTGCAGTATATAATATGTTATAAAATATTTCCAGGGCATTATTTACATCAGATACATCAAGAACAGAATCCCAATGGATATTTGCTAAAAAATCATTTAAGCCTATAAAATTTGTGCTTCTGAAATCATGATAATAAATGTCATATTATATTGGTTAACAATAACATTTTTTTTTTGTAGTCAAAGACATAATAATTTTTTTTATTTTAACTAACTATCATTTTACCCTTTGTTATACAATGGTTATTTCTTGAACCAACTCCTAAAAAAACATTTGAGAATCTCATTTCATTGAAACTTAATATCATTGTATTGTCAAGCAGTGTTTCAGAAAAACAATCAAGGTTTTTCAATACTTCATAGTCTTCATTTTTTGTTGTATGATTATGATTTGCAAACCTCCACTGCTCCTGAACTCTGTTGACTATCTGTGCAAGTGGATGCTTTGAAGTCTTCAACATTCTCCTAATTTTTGACATGAAATTTTCAAATTTAAAGGCTGAAAAACTATCAAGTGTTCCGTGATTCATGACATCACGTGGTAAATGAATCAAATTGTGAACATTGTGGGTGATGTATTCTTGACCATACAGTTTACCAAAATTTCTTACGAAATATTTCAATAAATCTTCAGCAATTTTATTGTATTTTCGACATAGATCTGGGGAACACAATATTCTGATGGCACAGTGCAATGACAAAAAATGAGTATATTGGGAAGGCTTTAGGCGATCCATAAAAACAATTGGTCCAGTGTAAAGGAGGAATTGCCTGAATTCACTGACTTTAGTAGTGTATATTTGCCGGTTCTGGCCCCTCCCAATTACTGGGGTACTCGTTTTCCAATTACTCTAGGCCCCTCCCAATTACAGGGTACTTGTTTTTTATTTTAATTATACTATTGTAATTGTCTATTACGCCCTGATTAGAAGGCACTAGAATCAACCAAAGTCGACAGGTTCTGACCCCTCCCAATCACGTAGGGTACTCATTTTCAATTATTGTAATTGTCTATAACGCCGTATTTAGATAATCTCATCTTGTTGAGTCGCTGTCTTTGACTCTAGATACAATTCTTCGGTGTGTGGAATCTGGGATGACAGTGTGTCAACCCCACCTCTCGTTCTGCGCCTGATAGTGGGGAGAAATCTGCCGAATGAAAATCCCCTCTCTTCCTTAGGAGATATATAAGTTGAAGCCGCTTCAACTCATTCATTATATTTTCGTTAAATAAAAAAATAAAATAAAATGAGATTTGCGCTATTTTATTGTTATCATCGATACCAAATAACTAACTTGACATTATTTTTGTGCATAAGAAGAAAAAGGTTTAGGCAATAATTGTCTAGGCAGCACCAGTCTGAACGGAACCATCCAAAGCACTGTAAGTCAAACAAGCATCATGAATAATCAAAGCATATACTCTTGTATTGGCTGGAAATTTAGTCTTGCGAGTCTCGAATTCCAATTTGATGTCCACTGTGGATGTCTTCATTGCGTCTGGTTGATGGCAGCAATCAATGATGAATAAGCAGTTCTCCCGGAAATCTCCAATAGCCAACATTGGCTCACTCATATCTCTATCAAAATAACTTCGTTGAAATTGTTCATAAGCATAATAGGCTGGTGAGTCAAGCTTTTTATCAAAATCAAGGTTCCACCTTTCATACGGATATACTTCAGAGTTCAGATAAAGGCGAATATTGTTGACATCGGCATGTATGAATTTGGACGCATCTTTTGATCTTTCATTGAAATTATCAGTATGTTGAAACCCAACGAATATATATCGGGGGCGTTCTAGACTGTTTGTTGTTTTGATAGCCCGAATATCTGAAGCAGTTTCTCGTAGTGATGGTAGTTCATACAGGTCCCACATTCGATAAGCCAACTTGATCTTCGCGTTTGTATTACTCCTATTTATTCTATTTAGTAACTTGAGTTTTTGTCTATCTTCAGGCATAATATGTTTGATTTTCCATTCAATTTTATTGATTTCCAAGTCAGCGTCAACTTCGCCAATGTATGAGTTCTTGAATGAACGTGCAATAATGAGTATGAGCTCTTGTTTCACATTCAGTATACCTTTGGTGTAATCCTCAGCAAAGCCCATCAGGTACTCGAGAGGTAACTTTCCACTGAAAATATGGCTGACGGTATCCAAGATATCCTGTTTTTGTTTGTTGAGGCCCCACCCTGTAGTTCTTAGTGACGTCATGTGCGTTTGTCCAAACGATATCATGGTTTTCATGGTGGTTGTTATGCCAGGCTTTCGAATGACAGCTACTTGTTCACCACCCATTTCGTAACGGATCTCATCAAATAGGAATGCGAGTGCATTATTAGATAAACAGCATTCTTCATTCGGTTTAAATTTTCCTTCGATATATACCGGGTGGCTACGGAAGTATTGCCTACGGAATATCTCAGTTTTTGTATGGGGTAGGTTTGTGAAATTTGGAGCTTCGATATAATGACATAAGAGCTAGAATTTGAGCATATTGACATGTCGAAGTTAACTTCCGGTCTGACCGGAAGTAACATCAACTTTCTTATTTTAAATGGAAACCCTATTTTTTTTTCTTTTCGCTTTATTCAGCATTCAATTCCCATTCTAATGACATATCACAAGTTGGTATCTAACCAGAAAAGAAAAAAATTATTATTGAAATTCACCGAGTAGGCCGTGGAAGCAAAATGAAAGCCAACAAATTACTTTCTATTATATCATTAGAAAGAAATGGTTATGCTGAATAGTACAGGCAAGAAAAAGTTGTATGTTCCTATTTAAGTAATGGATCTACAGAGTATTGTTTTTTCCCCAATTTTTCCAATATTTTTTTGGCGGCTTTTTATAACGCCGACGGATGAAAATAAAATATCACAGTAGTATCAACTGTTATCATGTGACGTATGGTTTCTATAGCCAATTTTTCAATTTTTGGCTTTCATTTTGCTTCCACGGCCTACTCGGTGAATTTCAATATTAATTTTTCTCTGATCTAGTTCCTGGTTAGATACCAACTTGTTATATGTCATTAGAATGAGAATTGAATGCTTAATAAAGCGAAAAAAAAAAAAGGGTTTCCATTTAAAATAAGAAAGTTGATGTTACTTCCGGTCAGACCGGAAGTTAACTTCGACATGTCAATATGCTCAAATTCTAGCTCTTATGTCATTATATCGAAGCTCCAAATTTCACAAACCTACTCCATACAATAGCTAAGATATTCCGTAGGCAATACTTCCGTAGCCACCCGGTATATATCTATCTGCTATATCCAGTATCAAGTCTTGAAAATTTATCGGAATTCTAATTTCATCAGAATTCTTGTAATAGGATGAACCATAAGGCTTATACAGTTTGTCCATTTAGTGCGTAATTCTTCGATATCTCCAAAGCCATAACCTATAGAAAAAAACTTTGAAGGAAAAACTTCTTCAGTTACTCAAGTTGCTTATTTCAAAAATATTTTCAACATTACTAGGTGTTTTATAAAAGCGGGATGACTCGGCGACGAGTTTTTTTAAATGGAACACCCTGTATTGTTTATTCGGAATTTATTCCGCCGAGGTTTACCTTCACATCGCTGTAAAAAAATTGAAATCGGATACGGCGTTGCCAAGTTATAATTGATAAATCTATTTTTATCACTATTGAAGAGTCTTGTTGAATTGGGCATGGTATATTCATTTACGGTAGTAGCAAGATCTCACGTATACAAATTCAGTAATTTTGCGACATGTTCTTTAACAGGGTGCTCTATTTCGCATTTAGAATTTCGCAAGATTCAGATGGCATTCATTAGAATTTTTCAAATGGAACACCCTGTATTTTTTTTCACAAATTTATTCCGAAATCTTTCACCTTTTTATAGCTGAAAAAAAATCATAATCGGCTGCGGCGTTGTCAAGTTATGGATAATTTCCTTATTTTTAATACTATTTCGGAGTATAATTTTGACGTCATAGTTCTTTCATTCAAATAATCAAATTTCTTCATTGACCATTCATATATTTTTCCACAATAGGAACATTTGCACGCTCTCCAAGTTTGAATTTAAAACAGAGTGGATTTGCCAAATTGATCCAAAATGCTACTTTCATAGATTTTTTGCAGACAACGAATTAATTTTTCGAAGTACACTTCCATTATTCGTGTAATGACCTGTCAAACATCGTCACAATCAAATATATCTTGAATTTATTTGAAGTTTTGCTGAATTCCCTCCCGAAACCCGCGTAGTAAAGAAATATTGTTTGTACCATTATGTAGAGTTTGCCTCCTTCAAGTTTGATGGATATTGGGTCTGTGGGAATAACGACAATAAAAGTGGTCCAAATTTTAAAAAATTGTCCTTATTCTCTCAATTCAAATCTCCATTGTTTGTATTGTAGAAGTTGTTTTAAAGGCAGGCGTTTTGCTTTTGGCATGCTTGTTTCACATAGGTACATATTATTCAAATCATAAGTAACAAGATTACGGAAAATTTCAAATTTTAACAATGCTTATATCACAAAGATACCTGAATGATCTATGTAGAACCTCAAATGTCATGTGGCAAGCAATATTTCCACAATCAAATCAAATAAAGGAACCATGTCTCATGAGTTGCCCTGAGATAATAATAATAATAATAATAATAATAATGTTTATTCATGTTCAGAAAAGATTTACAGTACATAACATTGAAATTTACACAATATTCATGAATGAACAGTTGAAACCGCAGTAAGTATGAAATACTTGTGCGCGGTTGTCCCTCAACATCAAATTGAATATCACGATACAATGATCAAAAATCAAAGGAATACAGTATGATTCTTATTAAAATAGCTACATCAATCAATATAATATTATATATACTACACATTCATTTACACATACATTATGGGTATAAATATAATAATAATAAGGTGCTCACTCAGTTTGCGTTGCATAATGAATATTTTTCAAGTCTATACCTTGATGAATTATAGTTCGGGGTTGTTCACTTATCCATTTTGAAATTCTAGATTTAAATAGTGTTAGTGTGTGACATGATTTGATTTCGCAAGGAAGTTCATTGAAGATTCTTGGGCCTGTGTAGGTGTGACATCTTTGTCCAATATTTTTCATAGCCCGAGGAATTATTAGTGATTCAGTTTTATATCGCGTACTGTACGTGTGTCCAATTTTAGGTGAGTTAATTTTCATCTTGTATTGAAAAATCAAAAGTTTTTTATAATATAATTGTCTTATGTCAAGTATTCCAGATTCGAAATAAAGGCAGTCGCTAGGGTAAGTATAATGTTTTTTGAATATTATTTTCAATATGTGTTTTTGAATTATTTCCAAGTTCCTCAAACAAGTTTTTGACACGCCCCCCCCCACCCTATGATACCATATGATAGGTGGGATTGGACTAAGGAGAAATACATAGATTTTAAGTGCGGAATGTCGAAAAACTGTCTAAAATATCGAAATTGGTATAGTAGAGAACGTAGTATTTCTCTAATAGTTTTCCACATATCTTTCGGGGTTGAGTTTTTCTTTATTTGATTTTTATAGTTTTTAATTTTGGCATTTTTGATGATGTTATTCAATCGATTTCTATATAATTTGTACTCTCTAAGGACAATTTCGTTGTTTGGTTGTATTCTACTTCTAATGTATAGTGCATTCTTTGTTTCCATTGATTTTAGGATACCTTCTGTTATCCATGGTTTCCTCTTGATTCTTTTCCGTCTCATTTTAACTCTCTTCGTGCATTGACTTAATCTACTATTTAATATTTCGATGAAGTTGTCAACTGATTTATCAATATCATGTGCTGAGTAGACATTCAGCCATGTTTCTTCATCTAAGAGTTCACACAGTTTCTTATAATCAATAAAATATTTATATTTCCTTTTAGCCTCTTCAACTTCTGGATCTTTTTCGAAACGACATTGCAGAATAACAGGAAAGTGATCTGTAATTCCAAAGTTTATCACCATTGGAAGAAACATATCTAGAGCAGTATCCGTTTTCAAGAATATATGGTCCAAACATGAATTGCTTTTGCCTTGCACTCTAGTGTACGTGTTTATCGTAGATACATATCCTCGAGAGTACAATATGTTGAGATATTTCTGGCTACTGATACTGTCGTCTAAGATATCGATATTGAAATCTCCTACTATTATGTCTAGGTCACATTTTGATATTTTGTTTTGCAAATATATGTCTAAATCTGAAATAAAGTCTTTTTGATTTAGAGAAGGAGAACGATAAATTCCTAGAATTTCTATACGCTTGTTGTTATGAGCTACTACCACCTTGAGAATTTTAACCTCTCCAATACTTATGATTTCATGGCTGTGATTGATATGTTCTTTCATATAAATCACTACTCCATCGTTCTTATTAACATCGCCAAAATTATAGATTAGGTCATAGTTCGGTATGTTGTAACGTTCAGTGGAGTAAATATTAAATGTTTCCGTAAGCACAATGCAATCAAAATCGTGTTCAAGTTCAAGTTTGGCTAGGTAAACATTAAGTTCATCAAAGTTCTTGCATATACTCCGAATATTAGTATGAAAAAGAGTAAACTCCTTATTCCGTGTTCTTAAGGCATTTTTACATTGCGATATGTCTCCTATTACTAAATTATCGATTTTAACAATTTCAAAATCTTTCAAGTAAGCATCCATTGTACAAATTTCATTATGATATTATTTATCTGATACAAAAATTCAATATAAAAAGAGTGAAAAATCAGAATATATTAGACTTTATCTACAAGGTAGCTGAAACAATTTATTTCAGTGGTTTTTTATGGCTGCGAGTGAAGATGTTTCCACCACTGGTCGACTGGTTAATTTTTCTGCGCTTTCGTTTATTTAGTTCTTCTTTTTGAGTATGGGCATTGATAGTTTTCCCTTCACTAGTAATTCTGTGTTCTGGTTCTTCGCTTTCGGTTTCTTGTTCTGTTTCACTGTCTGATAATTTTTCGAATTCTTCCAGGTCTTTTACTGTGTAACTGTTTCCATTCAAAATAAGCTTGCTGCCTTTTATTTTCGCATCCGGGTATTGATTACGGACCTTAAGCAGATGTGACCGTAATATTTTCTGTTCCTCTCTATCTTCAACGCTAAGATCGTTATTAATGAAAATATTTGTGCCTTTCAGTTTATTAATCTTTGAAAATATCAATGATTTTTTCAAATATGAAAGAAACTCTATAACAATCCCTGGTTTTTCACTTCTTCCTTTCGAATAAATGTTATTTATATCGGTTTCCTTAATTTGCAGCTCCAATAATCTATTTATTTGTT